TCGAGTTTTTCGAATTGCTCTAATTTTTTTGTTACATGAATATTGTTTCAATCTTACTTTATTAAAATTACGGATAAAATTTTGATAAGTGAATAAATGTTTAGCAAAAATTGAAAAAATGATCTATTGAAATATTCTTATTACCGAATTTTTCTAGTAACACATGATAGTTATTTTCTTCGTCTAGCAATAATTTTTTGTTGATATACGCTTTCAAGGTTAACCGAATTTAATAATTAAACATAAAACTCAATATAATACATAAATAATGATATGTTCTATTTAATTTTAAATTATCGAAATGCCATTTCAAATTCATATATATATATATATATATATATATATATATATATATATATATATATATATATATATATATATATATATATATATATATAAGAACTTAATAAATCTTAATATATGAATATGAAAGAACAAAGAGGTTGACGCATTTCAATAACACTTGATAAGAAAGTGATGAGACAATGCATTATTTTTAAAGTAAATAAAAGTGGATGTACTTCATAATAAAAAATTCTATATAAAGTCTTAATAGTTATAGTATATATAAAAATTATGTATTTATATGTCGGTTTGGTTCGAATTTTTTTACTTAATACAAAATCAAATCAAACCAAAGCTAGTCGGGCTTTTTAATCGATTTGGTTTGACGTTTCGATTTGTTGTGATTTTCCGGTTCGGTTTGAATAACCCTAATTTCAAATACATTGACCTCATTGGTGAAAATCATGAACTCATAACCCAATCCCTACTCACAATGCGTTACCTTTACCAATTTGTTAAAAAAGATGTCTGTAAAAAAAATAAAATTCCACGCTCATTCATAGTGTACAAAACTTGTAACTCAACTTCCTGAAAGACATAGTACAATTTTAAGAAAAGCAAATGATACCTGATTGCTTTAATTCGCGCCAATTAGAGTTGAAACGCCGTGTTTTATTCGAAGAAAAGAAATACAGGCAACTTCATGAAAATCAGACGGAACACAAACTAACTATTTCCCACAAGAAGACGATTAGTAGGCGCATGATATGTATCATATGTGTATATGTACGCAGAGGCCTATCCAATTTGAGGGATATGGGTCTCTCCCTAAATCGTAAAAAAAGCACGGTCTAGCCAATTTTTGGACCGGTCATTCAAAAATAGCCAGCGTTTACCAAGTCAACAAAAAATAGCCACTATTTTGCTGCAACAAAGATCGGTCCAGCATAATATACTAGAGAATTCGGTGCACCTGTATATGAACTTCCAGCATATTATGCTGGAACTCCAACACACGGAAAGTTCCAGCATAATATACTGGAGATTCGAGCACTTGTGTATGAACTTCCAGCATATTATACTGGACCGGTATACTTTGCTGGAACTCCAGTATATTATGCTGGAGTTCTAATGTACTTATGCTGGAACTCCAGTATAATATGCTGGAGTTCAAGTATACTTATGCTGGAACTCCAGCATAATATACTGGCGTATTTTCCGGGTTTTGAACAGTGTTTTCGCTCAGGTTTGTCTTTACATGAAAAGTGGCTAAATTTCGATTACTTTTGAAACTGGGCTATTTTTGAACGACCACTTGTAAATCTGGCTATTTTTGAATTTCTCCCCCCTAAATCATGTATAATAATGTTATGTTTCTTCAAAATTACTTAAATATATGTGTGTGAACCCATGCTCAAAGATTATTATGGTACAATTATTACTGAGTGCACATCTACAAGTGAAATTGGCAGTTCAAATCCAGCTCTGAACGGTCTTGTTTTCGGCACAGAGTGTAGATATATATATGTGAAAATTACTAAACTTTCAAAAATAATATAATTTTGAACATAGAATTTTAAAAGTGTAATGGGTCATGGTAAGAGACTAAAAGTAAAACAGTCAAATATAAATTCTAGATCTACTTCCGCATTTATATCTACGTGTATAAAATTAGTCAAACACAATAGAAGTAAGACAGCCGCACGATTTTTGCATGCACTTTTGATGTTAGCAGGTAATGACATGAGAAAATAAACTCACAATCCTTGATTAAAACAGCAGAAAGCAAAACTATACTCCAATTATAAGATCTCCATTTTCTCATTCGCCAAAGACTAATAAAGACTGAATCCATGGACCGCATGCAAGAATCTTAGGTTTGGTCCAGAATCATACTTAGCATCTCAGTCTTTTCGTTAGGGGAATTTTCATAACTACAACTTCTCTAAGAGTATATTACATTATCTACAACTATTATTTGATTTATGTTTTGTTAAGCCACCCTACAAATATGGTAGTATCCCTAAAAAATCTCCTCAATTCTCTCTTTGTACGGAAATCAATGAATGAGGATCCCAAAATTTTAGCATATTTAATGAAATCCTTATCATTTCCTAAATTTAAGTCTAACTGAATTGATTACAACTAAAATATAAATTATTTCTTAAAAAATCTCTAAATCCCTAAAACTTAGTTTAACCAAATGGACTACAATTCAAATACAATGAATCATCTCTTAAAAGATGTCTTTTGCCTGTTATTTAAAAATAGGTAAGAGATTACACTATATATAATATATGTTCATCGAGTAATAATACTTTTTTTTTATAGTATTGCATATAATTGATAGTATATTGTATACCCCTTATACAATGCTATAGATATATTATATATTGTATAATGTGTATATTTAATCATTAATGAACAATAAAATGTATTATATATTCTACATATGAAATAATTGTTTAACTTATATAAATAAAATAATATACTTTCTACCTAAGTAAATATACATTATACTTAAAGAAATTGTATATTGTATACATAGTATAAATATACTATATACTACATACTATATAGTATATACCATATACTATATATAATCCTATTATATCCAATGTTCTTTATTTGTATATAGATAATAGAGCATCTAAATATATTTTGGAAATACGTATATTAATCTATTCATATATGCTATATGAAAAGTAACTACATATATTATACCAAATTTATAAATAAATATTTTGGTATTTTACCTTAATCCATGATACTACGTGATTAAACATTATTACTTTCAAAACTGAAATTATTGAATCACGGGAATGTCTCAAAAAATAAATTTAAGAACATTAATTTCTATTGATTGAATTTAATACCGAACAAAAGAAAGAAAAAAGAGGAAGAAAAGAACATCATTGGTGTGAACAACAAAGATCAAAATAAGTTTGAAGATTCGAAATCCAAATTCAATAGTGATATTGGTGTTCTTGGTGGATTTGTAACTCATTTCTGCTTCCATGAATAACACGACAAGTATTTCAAAAAATAAGTGGTTTGGGTGACTCCTCAGTGCTCAAACGAGCAGACGAAATTGAAGTGCAAGGAGAAAATAATTTCCCATGGAATTGTGGAAGAGAATGTCTGTTCATTCTCAATATGGTATGGTGAGATAATTGGATATTTAAGAGAACAAGTGTGTTATGATTTCTCAATACCATCAACTTAAAGAATGAGAAAATTAAGGAGTCAATACTATTAACTCAACTAAGAGAGAGATATTAGGAATATGGAATGTTGTAGATTTTAAAAAAGTTGCATTATATGTAATAATCTAAAAGTAGTTGTAACTCATTTAAATAAGTATTAAATAAGTTGTATTCTATGTAAATTCCTTTTTTTGTTTTGTTATTTGGCTTTGGTCCGTGCCAAGCTTGAGTGAAAATAGCATGTGCTAGCCAGTTTTCGAACTGGTAATTGAAAAATAGCTAGTGTTTGTAAAGTCATTGTATTTTGCTGCAACACGGAAAGTTTCAACATAATGTACTGGAGATTGGTACACCTGTGTCTATGAACTTCCAGCATATTATGCTGGAACTCCAACACACGGAAAATTCCTAATATATTGGAGGTTGGAGTACCTGTGTATGAACTTTCAACATATTATGCAGGAACTCCAGTATATTACGCTGGAAGTTCACATGTAAAAAATTCGAACTCCAGTATATTATGCTGTACTAGTTTTCGAATTTTGAAGAGTGTTTTCGTTCAGATTTATCATAAATGAAAAGTGGCTAAATTTCGATTACTTTTGAAACTGTGGCTATTTTCAATTACCACTTGTAAATCTGACTATTTTTGAATTTCACCCAAGCATAGACTATCAACATCTAGTCTTTCGATTGGGCCTAATTGAACACCACTCAATTATAAAAGAAGAATTAACTCAAATAGCCGCTCACCTAACCGTCTAAACTAAAAATAACCGATTAGAGTATATTATATGCATAATATTTGTACTATATATGTAAAATTGTGTATAATCAATGTATATACTAAGTATATAACAAAATAGTAAACATTGAAATTCAAAAATAGCTAGATTTACCACTGGTCGTTGAAAAATAGCCAAGTTTTAAAAGTCATCGAAATTTAGCCACTTTAAATCTGAGCGAAAACACTGTTCAAAATCTGGAAAAATACGCCCGCAAATTTTACGGGAGTTCCAGGATAACTATGCTGGAACTCCCGCAAATTTTACGGGAGTTCAAGCATAATTATGCTGGAACTCCCGCAAATTTTACGGGAGTTCCAGCAAGTATAATTGTCCAGTATAATATACTGGAGTTTGGAGCACTGGCGCTCCAGTCTCCCGCAAATTTTACAGGAGTTAGCAAAGTATACCGGTCCAGCATAATATGCTGGAGTTCGTACACAAATGCACCAGAACTCCCGTATATTATACTGGACCGGTCCCTGTTGCATCAAATAGTGGCTATTTTTCATTGACTTGATAAACGCTGGCTATTTTTCATTGATCAGTGTGAAAACTGGCTATACCACGATATTTTAACAATAAGTTGTTGTTATTTGTGTAAAGATCCCACTATGAAATCCTAATGGGAGTTGGTGTGCTAGAAGCAAGAGAGATCACGGACCTCCAAGCTACGGTAATATGTGAAGGCTGCACGTGATTTCTAGCAACTTTTGCGGTTCAATAAATGACTTCCTAGAAATAAGAAAGAGCATTTTTTTTCCTATTTATTTGACCCTCTTGTAAACTACTTGGATCGGCTTGAAGTCATTGGGCGGAAGTGGTGAAACAACATGCTAAAAGAAATTCCTTTTAGCAACTCAATATTAGGCTTTGGAGTTTTTCTTAGCCAGAGTTGTTTTCCCTCTTCTCAACTCTGTCTCTCTCAGGCGAAACAGTGTTAGATCTGCAGAACTTTATTTCTCTATTTATGCCTTTTTCACTTTTGTTGAGTAAAAGTTATTTTTTCGGGATCTGTTCAGATATTTTCCTTATTCCGTTTTGGGATCACTGAGAAGTTCATTGATCTATATGGGTTGATTCCTACGGCTATTGTGAAATTGAATTAGTGTTTGTGTTATCTCTAGGTATTTCTCCAATTTCTCGTCTCCTGATTTTTTTTTTTTGGAGTTTCAATTTTTCTTGTTTCAGTTTAGGCTACTTGAGCTTGCTAACTGTATTTTCATATTTTTTTTAGCGCGTACTGTTCAGGATGATGAAGAAGACTATAAACAACCAAGCCATGGAACTGAGCTACCTGCTTGAAAAAATTGATACAGTAAGTGCTATTCTACATCTCAGATCTAATTCTTATTAACATATCGATCATGCTGCTTTGTTTACCCGCTCTATGAAGTTACTGGTCAGCCATACCACTATCAGTAAAAGAAGACTTGTAGAAACTTGCAGAATGAACATTTACAGAGAACATAACTGATATAAGGCATCACTGTTCTGTTTTAACATTTGGACCTTGCAATGGTTAAGAAGACCGGGGGTTTTAGAACTTGTTCATTAAGAATTAGAGAACAATTAGCATAGTGATTGTTGTTGACTTGTTGAATTCCTTTTCTGTGATAATCTAGTGCTTTGCATTTTCAATTATCCCCAACCTTAAAGTGAAGGAAAGCCCAAAGTGACTAAGATGAGCAGTAATCCTAAGAACCAAAAATCATGCAATTGACTTGAAATAAAATTTTCTATTAATTTTGTTTTACTAGAGGATGCAACGTATAGATTCACACAAACTTAGGATGTATTTCATTGGATATTTATGAATGAGCATGGCTAAAGAGTAAGGTTCTGAAGTACCAAACATGACATTCTCTGACAAGTATAATTATAACCTCTTGCACTTAGACCCCTAAATTAATAAAACATTATTTAGCATCTTTAAACCAACTAGCTGACATTTACATAAGATGAAGGATGGTATTATGTTTATTTGTGGACCGCTATAAAAGAAGAAACATACAAACTCCTTAAAGATGTACAAAGTTTTGAAATATACCAGCTGTGGATCTACTTGATGAACCCTGATTCATTAAGTATTTCCCTTTTGGTAAATCATGTACTAAGGAATGAATCACAAGAACAACACCTCCATTTAACACAAACGAGGGGCTCTTATTCTCCGGACGATATAAATTAAAGGACATGGGGAGCTGCCTTGGTTATAGCAAACCAATCCTACCAAGAAGGTAACTATGTCTAATTAGAACATTATTGACCAAATGACAATGTCGACTTAGGATAGAAGGTTGCCTCCATTTAACACAAAATAATACTCTTAACAAATATGAGTTTCTAACTGAGTAGAGGTAAGCTTATATTTTATATCACCAAATTGTGAACTCATGAAAAGTTTAAAATATGCATATTCCGGAATCAAACAAACAAATGATGTCCCACTTATGAACAAGAAAGAGGAAATTGAATTTTGAACTCGCCAAGAAATATAAATTGAGTTTGATTGACCTAAAGATAAGATTGAACTTAAAATTGACCGAAAATGGAGATCGAGTCAGTCCTTGAGTTTGACTAAATGGAAAGTTAGCTCATGAGTTTAGCAAGCATAGAAATTAACAGTCATGAGATAGAATTGTGATAGAAACTGTCGAATTGAATTTAACACGAAACTTACATATTACTGAAATTACATTAAAAGGGAGAACAATATGAGCTGATTGCTTCCCTGGTCTTATTGACTGTATTTTAGCATCCAGGGTCAAAAGGAAAATTCTGCCCCTGTTGTGGTCAAGGAAAATTTTTGGTTGTGAAAGATAAGATGTTTATTACACTATTACAAACTTGGAAGTCACTGATTCAGGATATGATCATGACAAAGCAGTCTATAATTTTTAAGGCTTTGATTCAGTGGCAGAAGTCATGGTTAACGGGCGAAAAGCATGATCAAGACTGGCTTTCCACACTCTTTCAATATCAAACATCATATCACCACACTCATTCTCATTCCAGCCTTCCAATGCGTGCAAAATCCCTGCTATTCTTGATGCACTCATCACCCTTCTTGGTAGCCAGTTCTGGGGTTATAATAATAGTCATAAATTTACTTTAATTATCCAAAAAGATCAAACAAAAACTTAAGGAAATTAAAATTATCTTCTCTAACCTCACAAGAGTCTACATTTTCAAGTTGTTTTGGGATAGTCATGGCTGGTGTGCTGAAGTAGATGCAATCTTTGCGAGCTTTCCTTGGTGGAAACTGTGAAAAAGGAATAAACAATGTTCCTTTTGGTGCTTTTAATTGTTCATCTTCACTCAATCCATCCCCTACTAGCCATATCTGCAATACAATACTTCAATCAAGAACTATTTTCTGCGAGACCGTGGGGTGTGGAGAGAGAGGATGGTGAGGGAGAGGGACATAATGACAAAACTTTGGGTTGGGAGAGGGAGGGAGGGAGATGAAAGGAATTGTTATAAATCATTAAGATTTAGGTCAGTATTTTTCAATGTATTTTGGTTTATACCTTTGATAAATAGGTCTTTGACTGGACCACATTAGTTGCAGCCTCAGGGGTAAGCCTTGATTTAAGTCTCTTGTACTCTTCTTCATCTAACATGATAACCTATATATAAAAATTGTAATGAATGAGAAAAAGGGAAACCAAGGTGATGGAGGAGATTAATAATCAGAGATACCTGAATTCCTCTTTGGCACAAAACAAGGGCGATGGAGCTAGAAACTTTGGACAAACGACCTCTAAGGACCACTTGGGGAGTTCCTTTAGGAATGGAGTTAAGGACCACAGCAACAACTAGACTACTTCCATCAACCACCTTCACTTTCAACTGTGGATGCCTCCTTATGTAAAGTTCACCGTTATTATTCAGCTCCTCCTCCTGTTAGAACGTTACATTTGTGTAAAATTGTAAGTATCAACTGGAACCTTCTTTCGTCCAGCCAACAAACATTGTATATAGGATGTTGGGAGAATTTTTATTAATTTTCTCCCTAATAGTGAATATCTGCCATAGCTAACAGAATGTTTTTCTCAGAAAATTGCATTTTAGGTAGAGATCATGCATTTTTCTTATATACTCAAGTAAGGATGGGAATTATTCGATTTTCTAGAGTTTTTACTTACCTGATTTAGGAGTCCAAGGCTCAAAACTTTTATGCCTTTCTGATCAGCTTCCATGATGGCCTCCTCAATCAAATTGTTAATAGTATCTCTTTGCCATTGCATAAAGTACTGAACAAAGTAAAAAATTAGGCCAACTAGTCGCTTTAACAATGTATCCAGAACATACAACTAGTCATGATTAACAAAAGTTCTTACTTGTTTCCTGTATTTTGGGACAGCCCAAGTTTGTAACTTAAGATTCTTGAATAAATTTCTCTCAACAACAAATGTTTGACCATAAATCCAAGTAATAAAAAACGACCATAGGGTAACGGGCCACAATAACCATAAATACCACTTGGAAGCATGAGGCGTCGAGGCCAAGGATGCAAGCCCTAGTCGGAGATGGTAGATTGATTCTGGGGTTGTTAGATGTGTTAGGTGCACAACGTCAGGCAAGTCAGCTTTCCTCTCAAGTGACTTTTCATACAATGTATCTGACGACTTGTCCACTGTACCATACAGATAATCATACATTGGCATGAAAAGTGAATAATTTGTTCTAAATTGAGTGTGATGTAGCGAGTGGTACCTGTGCCATCAAAGAATTGACATTAGTGGTAAAAAATAAAACAAATTCATCAGGGATTACTAGTCTGCCTAGTCAGTAGGAAAAAATACATTTGAAAGAAGACTTATATTTCCATTTTTCCTTTTATTTCCTGGTGAGCTAAAGTTAGAAGCAGATACAAAATTTCTGTTCACTGAGGTCTCTAACTTTGTTTGTACAGAAGTACCAAAATTGCATCTCTTTTGTCTTCTAATTAAACTGCTCTGCTACCTTCTAGATATGCATGATTAAATACATCTTGGGGTCGCCTGAATGAGAAGAAACATTAATGTTCTGGAAGTAAAAAATGAAAAAGATATTTGTGTACATTATCTTGGGAAAATCTCACTTTATACCCATTAAGCCCAAACTATTTACCCTTTAATACCCAAGCCTAAGCTGTTTACTTTTCCTACCTATGCAGCCTAAAGTATTTACCCGGCCCACCCATTAGCTATTTGCCTTCTCATTTGAAGTACAGAATGTTAAAAATATTCGGTTTCATTTTTGCAAGCTTACTTGGTAGTGCACTTGAATGGATCTACTTCTCCTCCGCCAGATCGATCTTCCTTAAGAGGGTCAACACAAGCTATTGCTTACCTCTTCTCCTTATGATTTTTGTGTGTGTATGAAGACCCACCATTGTTGAGCTTGAAACTCCTAAATTTGAAATTTTATTTTGAAGATTTATTGTATGGTTCGATGTGGGTGCTATAAAATTTTGCTTATAGTACCTTCAAGTAAGCTTCCCAGATTTGAATTTTTACGTGTGTTTGAATATCCACCATTGTTGGCTTTAAGCTCAATTTTTATTTTTGAGGATGTTTTGTTTGATTCAAAGTGGGTGTTATTAAATGTTGCTTATAATACTTTCTGGAAGTTCATACTAAAATTTGATCACATTTGAAGTTGATTTGAGGTGATTGAGATCGAATCTTTCAGCTGAAAATCGAAGAAGAACACAGTTACCTAATAGTATCTGTATACCGCTGCGGTATACAATATGCTGCAGGAGTATATAACTATATTGCACTAATATACTATTATAGTATACAATATACTGCAACGGTATACTGTAATAATTGAAGAACGCAGTTACTTAACAGTATACCATTACGGTATACAATATACTGTAAGAGTCTAGAGTCTACAACTATAATGCAACTGTATACTATTGTAGTATATAATATACTGTAACGGTATTTTGTGTGCAATATACTGCAACAGTATGCTATATTAGTATACAATATACCATAATAGTACTATTTTAATGTAATAGTATAATGTTGAATGAAGAACATAAAATATCATTTTCATATATTGTATGCTATTTTGGTATATAATATATAGTTCAATAGTATATAGTTTACTACAATAATATATAGTTCAATAGTATATAGTTTACTACAATAATATATATTACAACATGATGTTATAATTGGGTCATTTTTAAGTTTTAAATTTTTTTAACTGGATCCTTTTTAAATATTTTAACAAAGTTCTTATGTTTTTTACAAAATTTTTTCCTTAAAAGGTGTTAGATGGAATTCCATGGAGATGTTATTTATTGTATTATAAGTAGATGATGAAAATAATAATTATTTCTCTTTTCGATACTTAACTTTTACAGGCAGCCTACGATTTCACCTCTTGTTGGCTTTCTCAGGTTCTCGCTTCCCTCCTCCTTATGTGATGTGTCAAGAATAAACTATGGGCACAATTTAATCTCACGGTTTAACAATAGCCTCTTATGACTTTCCATTTAACTTTATGAAAGCATAGCCACAATCACGATTCCTCTATCTCTTTTCACTAATATATTACCCACAAAAGCTGCAATGGGTAGAAAATGTAATTAGTTTGGGGGTAGAAAAACTAATGGGTAGATAAGGGTAATTAGTTTAGTTTTTGTGGGTAAAGGTATAAAACTCTCATTATCTTTGTCAATTCAGTTTCCAAAAGAGATCAAAAAGTGGGGGTCTGTGCATTTGAGCCTTTTATTTTGCACTTTTCCTTCGAATGAGTGTTTCCTGATCAGTCATTTCCAAGCCAAACTTTCGAAACAACTTCCCTCTCTTCCTTTCTGAGTTTCTGTTTCTTTTTTCCTCCATGGGTATAGTAATATTTTGTGGCCAATGAACTTCATCCACTGTAACATTAAAGTCACCTTATTGGGTAGGCTTTGTCATTTATGGATAAAGCTTAATGACTTACTATTGTAGTAAGTACATTTCAACTACTTTAATGTGACAATAAAGTTTTGTGACTTTACCGTTATAGTCGGTCGAGTTTAGTTACTTTACTGTTATACAGGTTAAAGTTCGGTTACTTTAGCGCGACAAAACAATTTCTAACTTTACCATTATAATGGATAAAGTACGTGAAATTTAACCCTTAAAAGTTTCTTGTAAATTCCTTTTACTTGCAACTATTTCGAATTATATTTGTTCACCCAATTAACATCCGATGATATTTCAAATCCCTGTCAAAGATAGCCATTGCAAATGAAAGTTGAACATGAAAAGACAATGCAGGATGGAAAAAACACATGGTAAGTGAAGTCTTGTCAAGGCAAAACCAAACAAACGTCTAAAGCATAGTTGATGCTATAACTAGAAAAATTGAAATATAGGGAAAACAGACTCACGAGGGCGTATATATCAAGTACTTGAGAGGGGGAAACATAGAGAACATCCACTTAGGAATGAGCTCAAAGTTGCAATGCCCCATGTTGTTCATGAAATCAACGTAAGTGATGTACGCAACAAATGCAGCTATAGAAGCAGTTCCAGTGAAACAAGTTGTGACCGCCGGTATAACAAAGATAGTGTAATATGCTACGATCTCAGCAAACGGATGAATAACAGCTGCAACAATAAAAAACTTTGCTTTGTAAGTATTTGCAGATAGGTCATTGATTGTCTTTGAAATTAAACGGAAACCAAGTGACCTACAAGCCAGTAGGCAGGTCTTTAATATGCAGAAAGCCAATCTACAAAGTACTTATATTCTCATCCATCCCATTTAAATCATATACGTGACAGCCATTCTACAAGATCTTTTTAACATTATCTACTGACTACTGTCGATATTATTGTCTAGGTTACTATGTCAGGCTTAATATAAGCTCCTTGTAATATCTGATATATTTTCTCAAAGACTGATTGTTCTGCCTCTAGAAAACTACATCAAATTAAACATATGATACAAAACGTTTACGAAGGCCACTTACAAGTGATGGGCTCAGTAACCATGGAGGAGTGATGATGGGAATGATAACGAGAGTAGAGAAAATGGTGGTGCAGAGCTCTGTGAAGCCAATAATAGAGAAACTCCACCGGACCGAGATGCATCAAGGCAGTTATTATGATCCCATCAGTCCTCCACAAAGGCAAGTGATGAGTCTGTTGGAACTTCAGGTATGCAATGTAGAATAACATTCCATTAAATATGATTTGATCATCCCTACAAAAATACTTCAACCTTAAATCAATTTTGTCATGTACATTTGTTTTGCACGTTCTTTTTTGCTTTGTTGGATTCTTTTTAGACACTGTCGAAACCTAATTAGTACTGTCAAAGCATGGTTTAGACATGTGCGACCTAGTCCAAGATTCTGACTCCTATCAGGTGTATAGCTTTTCTTCTGGCTGAAACTTTCCCATAACACCTTCAGCTGGAGAACACTTGATTTGCATCATAACTTTTAATGCACAAAAGGGTCTTGGTTGTAGCAATTCAGCCCCCAATTTTTTATTTATTTGGTGTGGTAATGTAACTGTTCAGCCTACTAGCGATATCTCATCTTTGGGCTAGGCCCACAAGGTCTTAAAATGTGTCACTAGTAGGGGTGTTCAAACCGAACCGGAAAACCGCACCAAACCGAAAAACCAAACCAAACCGATTAAAAAACCCAACTAGGTTTGGTTTGACTTGGTTTGGTATTGAGTAAAAAAACCCGAACCAAACCGACATATAAATATATAAATTTTATTTATATTTTTAAGACTTTGTAGTGATTTTTCTTTAGAAAATGTAGAAATATTTGGATCCTCTCATGTATTAACCTTGAAAGCGTAAATTAACGAAAAATTATTGTTAGACGACTAAGAAAATAACTATCATGTGTTACTAAAAAATTTCTCCCATTAGAATATTTTAATAGATCATATGTTTGTCAATTTTTTCCATATTTACTAAACATATATTCACTTATCAAAGCTTTATCTATAATTTTAATAACGTAAGATTGAAATAATATTCATGTAACAAAAAAACCCGAAAACCCGACAAAACCGAACCAATCCAAACCGATATAATTGGTTTGGTTTGGTTTTGATAGAAACCGAACCAACCCGGTCCATGTACACCCCTAGTCACTAGGATCTAAGGTTTGTTTTATTATATACACCCAGCATCTCTCTCTTTTTTTTTTTTTTTTTGGATATGAGATTTGACTTGGGTGTTACATCCACCACCTTTCGTAAAGATTCAACATTGTCGTAAGATGTGACATACACCTAAACTTCGTTGAGATTTTTCCCTACCGTCTCTCTTAACAATGTGAGATTTGCTTAAAACTCAGCTTTCAGTTGAGAGTTGCCCAACCATCACCTAAGGTTGTATGAGTGGTTCTGATATCATATGTAGCTTCCTAGCCTACAAGGCATCATCTTTATCGTATTTTTGCCGATGTAAAATTTATACAGAGTGTTACGTTAATGACCACCAGGGGTTCAATTATTCGTTATAAAATCAAATCTTCCTTGCTAAGAAATTGGAGGCAAGGTTGAATATTACCACATAACTACTGTGGAGTAGGTGAGGTCGGAATGTACATACCAGTTTCGTTCTCTGTCAACTTGATCAAATTCAATGCTCTTGTCAAGAATCCGATTATCACCCTTGGCAGTCCTGTAGCGGGATAGGGATATCCACATCTGGTTGTGAACTATTCTCCAGAGTAGATATGGGAGTATAACTATGTATGTAATGTCCCTCTGACTTTCATCTTTGCCCATGAAGAATGAGTATATGCTATGACCCACAAATGGTGCCAAAAGCAAGTACTTCATCCCAACAAATTATTTCAAGAAAAAAAGAGTAGAGAGTTTAGCAAGTCTAGCTATAACTTCCTGATTCAGCACAGAATCGTTTTAGAAGGAAGAAAAGAAAACAAAGGTTTAGGCATTAAAGTGTAAACTCAGGGTGTGTTTGGTATGAGGTATAAGAAGGTATAAGGGTGGTATAAAAATTTAATACCAGGTATATTTTTATACCACCCTAATACTCTGTTTGGTTAGCAAACCAGGTATATTTTTATACCACCCTAATACTCTGTTTGGTTAGCAAACCAGGTATAAGTTATCCCGGTGCTAATTTTAACACTGGGATAACTTATACCTTATAGAAGGTGGGGTAATTAGCACCGGTATAACTTGTACCTTCTTCTTAGAAATTATGCAATTGTCATTCTTAATATAACATACCAAACAATGAATAAACAACAATCTCAGCATAATTAATCCCAGCATAGCTTATTCCAATATAACTTATACCGGCATAACTTATACCGGTATTAAGCGTATTCCAACCAAACGACCCCTTAATTGTCAATGCCAATACTACGTAACACATATTCTGATGAAAACATTATAGTGTTACATGGAGCTAATTAGTTACTTACCTTTTACTTTTAAAAGGAAGACGACCGAAAAATGTAACTAGTTAGGGTACCATGAGCATTTTAACAAAAGAGACAGTAGACCTTTTGAAAGCAGTACATATTCAAATAAGAAAGAATATTTTCTTGTAAGTTGTCAGATTTAATTATTACTACTGCTATATTAGAAAGCACTAAAGGAAGTGGCTTTTATCCCTCTCTCTTTTATGTATTCCAACAGTAACTTCTTAAGATTACATCATTTTAAGTCTACATGCTTTCCAATATACTGTAAAAATAACTTGTTTTGACTACAAAAGAAAGAGGAAACAATAGTCTGGAATTCAAGAAAGCGTACCTTGAAGTTTCCAAGGCGTGCCCATGGCCAGTCTGTGAGAATGCCAGGTTTAGTAGCCATTCTTTTGTTACTTCACCACAAACTGGTAAAACTAAGTATTTGTAGCTTTGCTCAACTTGTTCTTTCCCTGTGTCCTCTTAAAAGCTTCTGCTTCCACTGCCTTATATATACTATTGAATCTTGTTATACAAGAATGCATGTACAATATTCTGCCAATGAATAATGCCCGTATAAAGTGCCCTCAGTCAATCCTAATCGGTACTCCCTCCGGTTCACAATAAGTGTCCAATTTACTTTTAGCACGCCCATTAAGAAAATGTTAAATTCTATACAAAAATACCTACTATGACTAAACTACCCCTAATTAAACATTTAATGTGAGGAGTAAGAAAACTTTTTAGGGATATGTACATAGGGGTTATTTTGTAAAAACAAATTGAATTCTTTCTTGATTACATAACTGGACACTTATTTTGAACCAAAATGAAAAAGCAAATTGGACACTTATTGTGAACCGGAGGGAGTAATAATTTAGCATGCAGGAATAAACTATACTGTATAACTACAACTATAAGTTGTATTTCATATTTAAGTGTGACATAATCTTTTCTTTTGTTGGACCGTATGACCTAGGGCTAAGCAAATACGAGTTCACCTAGCAATAGATTATGCTACATTAATTGTGTGTTTGCGTAGAAAGTTGTAAATGCGCAATAAAAGTATGACACCATGCCAATGCAGCAGTTCATGTCAAATCTTGATAGCCTCCACACTACCCCAACCCACCCACAAAATACAAATAAATGAAATCAAAGTAAAAAAGATGACTTCACCCGTTTCATTTTATTCGACGATGCTTGACTAGAAATGAAATATAAGAAGAAAAATACGTCTCGCACTTATCAAACGTACCGTTAAACTTGTAGTCCGAAACGTGTTCGAACGTTTCTATAACATAAGAGCGTGTCATCAAAGACAAAATAAGACACTTAAAGCTAAAAGAGTTTTCAGAGTTCAATTTCTTTGAAAAATAATAAAAAGTAAGAAAAAAGATAAATATATCTGGTAGATCAAGAGAAGTGACATGTTATAAATCACATATAATCAGAATTATATAGATACTGTAGAATGGAAACTATTGAGTTAATATAATATACATTTGAGCTTTTTAAAAGAAGGTGAATGAAAAGAATTGAAGGAAAAAGATAAGAGACGTGACATAACATTTTTACGAGGCATGCATATTCAATATTTTTCCACAACTGCAAGTTCGGAAAAATCAATATATTGTAACCCTTGTTCATAATTAATTGTGGACGTAACCTTTTGCTTTTCTCCAAACAGTGTGACGGTTGACCGAGGGATAAGCAACTAGTATTATATATGTCCACACCTAAGCAATAGATTATGCTACATTAATTGTGTGTTTTCGTAGCAAGTTGGAAAATGCGCATTTAATAAAAGTGTGTGAGGCCATGCCAATGCTACGAAATGATGTAATTGGTGGTGGTAGAGTAAACCCTAACACCAATAAAAAGTTACAGAAATAACACGAAAGTTGGTATATCTTAATGTTACGACCCGGATTTCCCACCCTCGGGAGTTGTGATGGCGCCTACTAATGAGAGCTAGGCAAGCCAACTTAATTAGAAATTTTATTAAACACCTATTCCTTTTTAACAATTAACAACATTAAATAAAGACGACGGAATTAAAATCATAAGCGGAAGACTTAAATGTAGATAGATGGTCAATAATACAGAAGTTCCAACACATATATCTCTACCCCGGGACTGGAGTCACATACTCACGAACATCTAAGGAGTACTACATACAAAGTATGAAAGAAACATAATCTGTTTATCTCGGGTACAATGAGATGATAGCCAAATGTGAAGATAGACGGGAGACGCCGGGCCTGCGGACGCCTGCAAGCTACCTCGGGTCTGTCTGGACTGAAGGTTCGCCCCCGTGCTAATGCTGCTGCTGCTGCTCAATACCTGGACCTGTGCAAAAATGCACAGAGTGTAGCATCAGCACAACCGACCCCATGTGCTGGTAAGTGCCTGGCCTAACCCCGGCGAAGTAGTGACGAGGCTAGACAGGACCTACCAAAAACAACCTGTGCAGGTGTATATGCATAAACAAGTACAATGAAATAACAACAGAAAATACCAGCTAAGGCAGGGAGGGGACATGCTTAGGGGAAATACAGATGAACACAATTTATCAGAAGTAAACACGAAACCACATCCGATCTCATAATCTATATAAGTGGTCGGCGTGCCACACGATCCCATTTCATAATATATATATCTAGGTGGTCGGCGTGCCACATGATCCCAGTTCATAATATATAAGTGGTCGGCATGCCACACGATCCCATTTCATAATATTTAAGTGGTCGGCGTGCCACACGATCCCATTTCATAATATATAAGTGGACGGCGTGCCACACGATCCCATATTATAGTTCAAAATATTTGACTTTGTAAAGAAGGCCTCATTAGGGGAATTCGACAACATAACACTTTAACCCGGCAAGGGTACAACTAACAGCCCAAATATCCCGGCAAGGGAGAGTACATAATAATAGTCTACACGTCCCGGCAAGGGAATAATCACAACACATCCTCTTGTAAATCACTTCTTTCTCGACTATCACATTCTTGTTCGAGCCAACGCTCTAAAATATACCAATCACAATTCTTCCTCAACCGTTCACATTATATGAAATTTATCAATTTAACCAGGTAATTGTGTCACGTCATTCGAATTAAAAACAGTTAAGACTCACGGTCATGCTAGACTCCAGTGCATAGATAACCGTCACCATGCCTATACACCGTACTCCACATTTAGCAAGTAGAAAATAACATCCTAATCCTATTCCCTCAAGCCAAAGTTAGAACAAACACTTACCTCAAATGCTCCAAACTCAACTCAATCCTCTAGTATAGCTTTACCCTTCGAATTCACCACCAAACCGCTCGAATCTAGTCACAAATTACTTGAGTGTATCAACAAAGGCTAATCTAATAAATTTGAATGCATGAAAAGTGAATTTCCCAAAGTTTGTTCAAAAATCCCCAAAATGCCCCCGGGCCCACGTGGTCAAAACCCGAGGTTCGAACCAAAACCCGACTACCCATTCCCCCATGAACTCAGATATATAAGTTATTTTGGAATCGGACCTCAAATTGAGGTCCAAAACCCCCAAATTTTGAAACCCTAGTTCTACCCTAAATTCCCAAATTCCCCCATTAAAATCTTTGTTTTGAAGTTGAAATTATGTTTAAAGATGTTAAGAAGCAAGGAAAATAAGTTAGAAATCACTTACCAATCGTTTTGAAGGAGAAGAATCGTTTGGAAAATCGCCTCTTATGTTTTGGGTTTTGAAAAAGTGCAAAATGACTGAAAATCTCAGATTTATATACTTCGCTGAAGGACTGGCGCGGACCGCGCAAAAATGTCCCGCGGCCGCGCCGAGGAAGGGAGGGAAAACGACTCTCTGAACCTATCCAGCGCGGACCGCACTGATTTGGTGCGCGGCCGCGCTGGTTGACCTAGAGTTCACTGGCCCTCTGAACCTAGCCACGCGGACCGCGCAGAAATGCACCGCGGCCGCGTGGCTTCCAGCGCGGACCGCGCAGAAATGATCGCGGCCGTGCTGGGGGCCTGCAACACCTGGACCTGCAATTTCTGATGCTTTTAAGTCTAAAACCCTCCCGGGACCCACTCAAAACTCACCCGAGCCCTCGGGGCTCCAAACCAAACATACACACAACTCCAAAATCATCCTACGGACTCATCCATGCGATCAAATCGCCAAAACAACATCGAATTATGCCTCAAGACCCATGATTTCCTTCCAATTTCCATGAAACATCAAATTTTTTTACTGTTGCTAGCTCAAAACACGTCAAATGACGTCCAAATCTAACCAAACTTCACAGCAATTGCTTAACTCATATTTAAGACTTGTGCCGGGTGTCGGAACCAAAATACGAGCCCAACAGCACAGTCTTCTAAACAAATAACACTTTCAAATTCTTTAATTATTTTCAGAAAACAATTTCACACAATAATTCATTTCTCGGACTTGGAACCTCGGAATTTGATTCCGGGCACACACCCAAGTCCCAAAGTTTCCTACGGACCCTCCGGGACTGTCGAACCACGAGCTCGGGTCCGTTTGTCCAAAACGTTGACCAAAGTCAAACTTAATCAATTAAAACATCAAGGTTTTATTATTTTTCTCACAAATTCATATTTAAAACGTTCCGGCCACGCGCCCGAACTGCGCACACAAATTCGAGGCAACCCCCAAGTGAGGTTTTCACGGCCTCTGAGATACAGAGGGAGTAGGAATATAGGTGATGACCCTTTGGGTCGTCACATTCTCCACCTCTAAAACAACCGTTCGTCCTCGAACGAACAAGAGAAAGAAGTACCTGAGTCGGGAAAAAGATAGATATAACGGCTCCGCATACCAGACTCGGACTCCCAGTTCGATGCCTCAGGAGGCTGACCTCTCCACTGAACGCGAACAGAAGGAAAACTCTTAGACCTCAACTGACGAACCTGCCGGTCCAGAATAGCTACCGGCTCCTCCTCATAAGATAAGTCCTTGTCCAACTGGACAGTACTGAAATCTAACACGTGGGTAGGATCGTCGTGATACCTCCGAAGCATGGATACATGGAAGACTGGATGCACGACTGATAAGCTAGGTGGCAACGCAAGTCTATAAGCCACCTCATCCACTCGATCAAGAATCTCAAACGGGCCGATGTACCTAGGGCTAAGCTTGCCCTTCTTCCCAAATCTCATCACGCCCTTCATAGGCGACACTCGGAGCAATACCCGCTCACCAACCATGAAAGCTACATCTCGAACCTTACGGTCTGCATAAGTCTTCTGCCTAGACTGAGCTGAACGAAGCCTCTCCTGAATGATCTTGACCTTATCTAAGGCCTCCTGAACTAAATATGTACCCAATAACCGAGCCTCTCCCGGCTCAAACCATCCGAATGGAGACCGACATCGCCTACCATACAACGCCTCATAAGGAGCCATCTGAATGCTGGACTGGTAGCTGTTGTTGTAGGCGAACTCTGCTAAAGGCAAAAACTGGTCCCACAAGCCTCCAAAATCAATGACACAAGCTCGAAGCATATCCTCCAATATCTGAATAGTCCTCTCGGACTGGCCGTCCGTCTGAGGATGGAACGCTGTGCTCAACTGAACCTGGGTGCCCAACTCCTGCTGAACTGCTCCCCAGAAGCGCGAGGTAAACTGCGTACCCCGATCTGAAA